ACGCCGCCTTGAGTAATACAGAAGGAAGCATCGAACGGGAGACGTAGTTTTGTCGGGACGGGGGCTGTCGGAACAGCACTACCCCAAGGAAAAACGAAAGTAAATCTCGAGCGGGAGCGTTGTTCTTGCTGGGGGCGGCACCAATTCAAAAGAGAGTAGGGCGCCAACCCAGCGTAAAACGGAAGGAAGTCTCGGGCGGGAGCGCTGTTTTTTCGGGGCGGCGGCTTTCGGCGGCGAGGAGGAGCACCGCCTAGAGTTTAAAAAAGGAGGGACACCTCGAGCGGGAGCGTTGTTTTTGCTGGGGGCGGCGCCGATGAGAGAAAGACTAGCGCGCCAGTACAAGGTAAAACGGGAGAAAGTCTCAAGCGGGAGCGCTGGTTTTGTTAGGACGGCGGCTTTCGGCGGCGAGTAAAAACATCAGCCCTGAATAAAAAATCAAGAAGTCTCGAGCGGGAGCGTCGTTGTTGTTGGGGGGCCGTTATGGCGGTCCCCCAAACCGCTTGAGCGGGAGTCTCATTTTCAATGAAAATGTAGCCGGCGCCGCGGCGAGAGCGCCAGCGCGTCTTTAAGGGGTCCAACAACAATCTTCGATTCATACTTAGCATTCAACAACAACAACACCAACACCAACACCAACAACAGCAACAACAACAACAACAACAACAACAACAATTACTAGCACGTGGGGACACTCCGTTCTCACCAGTGCCAGGGTTTTCATAGGAGGCGGGCAATACCCCCACTTTGTGGGGGGGCCGGTTCAAGCTCTACCAAATTTCCAAACGACTCTTCGCCACCACCCACACCCAGCTTCCCGCCCTATGACGTTCGGACACTTCACTTCGTGGCATGCGGACGACCGTGGCTACTATTCAGGGCCCCGCGGCCGACGACGACGGCGTGCGCGCGCGAAGAAAAAACGAATGTGTCCCGCATGGTATTATTTGACAGGGATGATGGCCCTGGCAGGTGCGCAACCGTTGTCGCAGAAGTTCGAAAAAGTTGCTCGCAAAAGCCCGTTTGACAGAAATGTTTAAAAAGTGTTGGGTTTCCTACGAATCCGCAAGAGCGCGCGGGATGAGATTTTGACATTTTTTTGTTGAAAAACCATTGGTTTTTTGATGTTTTTATGTTAAAATCGCTCCGAACACTAAGGTTTTGGAAGGATTTCGTCTTGCGCGCGCGAATGTCCACTTTACCTTATTTTTTGCAAGGGATTCTTGAAATTTGATTATATTAGAACAAGAAATGTCATTTTCTATTGTTTTTTGCAAGGGAAAGCGGATTACAACAAAACAACCGGATCCTGTACACACCCTCTTTTCTGAGGCTTCCTCACGAAAATGATGAAAATGTAGCTGCGGCCTAGGCGGCGCAGGGGGGGCGCGCACCAGGGGGCCCAACAATAATTATTCTTTAGAATAAATAATGTTCAACAACAACAACAACAACAACAACAACAACAACAACAACAACAACAATCATTTAAGCACGTGGGGACACTCCGTTCTCACCAGTGCCAGGGTTTTCATAGGAGGCGGGCAATACCCCCACTTTGTGGGGGGGCCGGTTCAAGCTCTACCAAATTTCCAAACGACTCTTCGCCACCACCCACACCCAGCTTCCCGCCCTATGACGTTCGGACACTTCACTTCGTGGCCTGCGGACGACCTTGGCTACTACACTGGCGCATGGTTACAATGACTTTTTGTGGTAACATCTTGTGGAAAACCATTGGTTTTTTTAGGATTCGGACAGCGCGCGCGGGTGGAAATTTTGAAAAGTCGTGCAGGTGTTTTTCGAGGACCTACGGTGCGATTCGTGTGATTTTATGATGCGCGGTGCTAAAATTCTTAAGAACCCAATGGTTTTTGGAGATTTCGGCGTGCGCGCGCGAAGAAAAAACGAATGTGTCCCGCATGGTATTATTTGACAGGGATGATGGCCCTGGCAGGTGCGCAACCGTTGTCGCAGAAGTTCGAAAAAGTTGCTCGCAAAAGCCCGTTTGACAGAAATGTTTAAAAAGTGTTGGGTTTCCTACGAATCCGCAAGAGCGCGCGGGATGAGATTTTGACATTTTTTTGTTGAAAAACCATTGGTTTTTTGATGTTTTTATGTTAAAATCGCTCCGAACACTAAGCTTTTGGAAGGATTTCGTCTTGCGCGCGCGAATGTCCACTTTACCTTATTTTTTGCAAGGGATTCTTGAAATTTGATTATATTAGAACAAGAAATGTCATTTTATAGTGTTTTTTGCAAGGGAAAGCGGATTACAACAAAACAACCGGATCTGGATCACATCGTTTTACCTGAGGCTTCCTCACGAAAATGATGAAAATGGCTGCGGCCTAGGCGCGGCGGGGGGGCGTGCACCAGGGGGCCCAACAATAATTATTCTTTAGAATTAATAATGTTCAACAACTACTAGCACGTGGGGACACTCCGTTCTCACCAGTGCCAGGGTTTTCATAGGAGGCGGGCAATACCCCCACTTTGTGGGGGGGCCGGTTCAAGCTCTACCAATTTCCAAACGACTCTTCGCCACCACCCACACCCAGCTTCCCGCCCTATGACGTTCGGACACTTCACTTCGTGGCCTGCGGACGACCTTGGCTACTACACTGGCGCATGGGTACAGTGACTTGTTGTGGTAACATTTTCTGTAAGCTAGCTTAGTATACGACTTTTCCCCCTGTTCCAACACTGGACACCTGTACTGGTTTTTCGTGGTAACATGTTCCTGACGCAAGAGCCAGAGCCCGTTTGGAAACGCGGTGCTGAAATTCTATGATACGCGATTTTATGATACGCGGTGCTGAAATTCTTAAGAAACCCAATGGTGTTTGAAGATTTCGGCGTGCGCGCGCGAAGAAAAAACGAATGTGTCCCATATGGTATTATTTGACAGGGATGATGGCCCTGGCATGCGCGCAACCGTTGTTGCAGAAGTTCGAAGCACGTGAAAAAGTTGCTCGCAAGAGCCCGTTTGACAGAAATGTTGAAAAAGTATTGGGTTTCCTAAGAAATCCGCAAGAGCGCGCGGGATGAATTTTTGAAACTTTGTTTTTGAAAAACCATTGGGTTTTTCATGTTTTTATGTTAAAATCGCTACGAAAACTAAGGTTTTGGAAGGATTTCATCTTGCGCGCGCGAGTGTGCACTTCGTGTCATTTTTTGCAAAGGATTCTTGAAGTTTGGTTATGTTAGAACAAGACATGTCATTTTATATTGTTTTTTGACAGGGAAAGCGGGCGTCAACAAAACAACCGGATCCGGACTCCCCCGTTTTGCCTGAGACTTCCTCACGAAAATGATGAAAATGTGGCTGCGGCCTAGGCGCGGCGAGGGGGGCGTGCACCAGGGGGCCCAACAATAATTATTCTTTAGAAGTAATAATATTCAACAACAACAACAACAACAACAACAACAACAACAACAACAACAACAACAACAACAACAACAACAACAACAACAACACCTATGCAACGAGCATAATCCTCACCACGGATCTCCACTTCAACCGCGCACCCAAGGACAATGAATGACCGTTCGGCCCTTTCACTTTGACTAATACGACGTAAGCCTGACGGGCGGGTCGGGGAGGGCGGGCGGGCCCTAACGGGCGGGCCGGGTCGGGCCGGACGGGCTGACCCTAACGGTCGGGCCAGGTCGGGTCGAGCGGGCGGACCCTAGCGCGCGGGTCAGTTCGGGGGACATTAAAGCGTGGTGCATAATCGCGCTAGCACGATGCAACCCTGACGGGCGGGACGGGTCGGGCGGGTGGACCCTAACAAGCGGGGCGGGTCGAGTGGGGCGGGCGGACCCTACCGGGCGGGTCGGGTCGGGTCGGGCGGGCGGACCCTGACGGGCGGGTCGGTTCGGGCGGGTGGGACTTCAAATTGTGGCACATGAGAAAGTTAGCACGATGTAGTCCTGACCAGCGGGACGGGTGGGCGAACCCCAACGGGCGGGGCAACCCCAACGGGTGGGTCGGGTCTGGTCTGGTCTGGTCGGGCAGACCCTGACGGGCGGGTCGGGTCGGGCGGGCCCTAACGGGCGGGTCGGGTCGGGTCGGGCGGACTCTATGTGGCGGGGCGGGTTGGGCGAGCGGGACATTAAAGGGTGGCGCATAAGAAAGTTAGCACGATGTATCCCTGACGGGCGGGTCGGGTCGGGCGGGCGGACCTTAACGGTCGGGTCGGATCGGCTCGGGCGGGCGGACCCTAACGGGCGAGTTGGGTCGAGTCAATGGGAAGGGGGGCGAGCTCACGAGTCTGCGCACTGGCTGTGCGCAGGCGCGTGGTAGGCCTGTGCGCAACCTATGCATAGGCCTGTCGCGGAACGCCGGCCCCCAGAGAGGCTCCCGACAGGCCCACTACAGGCCTGTGCGCGGCCTGCGCGCAGGCCCGTGGCAAGCGCGTGCACGGCCCATGCATAGGCCTGTCGCGGAGCGCCGGCCCCCGGAGAGGATCCCCGAGGCCATACTACAGGCCTATGCACCGCCTGTGCACAAGCTTGTGCACAGCCTATGCATAGGTCTGTCGCGGAGCGCCGGCCCCAGGAGAGGCTCCCCAGAGGCCACGCCACAGGCCTGTGCACAGCCTATGCGAAGACCTGCGGTAGGCCTGCGCGCAGCCCATGCACAGGCCTATGACGCAGGAGCCTGCAGTTCGTAAGACATCCAATCGACAAGCCTATCGTAAGCCTGTGAACAGTCTACGTATAGGCCTATGCATAGGGTATGCATAAGCCTGTGGCGCAGGAGCCCAAAGGCCCTGTTACAGCCTATCGAGAGGCCTATCGTAGGGTCGTGGGTTGACTGCGCACAGGCCTGTGATAGGCCTCATGCATAAGCTTATTGGGGCCTAGCATAAACTATGCATTGGCTATCGTCGGGATTCTCTATTACGGATTCATCGTCATTATTCACGTCATCTTTACTGCGGATTCATCGTGGTGCAGTCGGCGAGCCACTCCTTGGCCTTCTCCAGGTTGTCGAGCTAACGGTTGAGTCTCTTCTCCAAAATGCGGAACTGCTGGGGCGCCTCGTTGGCCTGCCTCTCCAACGGCTTCTCCACAGGCACCTTGGTAGCGTCCAGCTTCTGCTTCCTCCAAACTTGATGCTGGGACTTGGCGCCCTCGTCACCGAACTTGGTGGCCATGGCAAGCACCGCGTCGATCTCTTCGATTGTGATGTCCGGCGGCATGCCCGCGCCCCCCATGAGCGCGAGCGCCATTCCGCCTCCTCCTCCGCGCTGCCTGTTCTTCCTGCCGCCGCCCGCCTCACAAGGGTGGTCGCCGAGCTTGCCGCCGACGACTTCGTACCCAGGGCGGCGGCAGTGCTTGCACCAAGTGAACCAGCTGCGGTTCTTGCCACAACCACACTCGGGTTGGGCGCACTTCCAGTTCTCACTTCCTGCTGGGTCACGTCGCGACCCTTCATTCGTGTTCCACGACCAAGTGCCACCTGCCATGGCACCGCCGTGCTATGTGATCAGGGGAAAGGGAGACCGAGCCAGAAATTTGGCCCGCGTTCACCCAGCCGTTCTGAATCGCTGGTGAACGCAAGCCCAAACACTTGGTCCAGAACGGCTGAAGAGAAGGGAAGGGAGAGGGGGGTGAAGGCGAAGGAGGAAACGGACGATGAGGAGGAGGAAGGGAGAGACTGGGCTCCAGTCGAGGAACTCGGTTTTCGAACTTGTTCCGCCCTATTTGGGCCTCTGGAGGGCTTCTCGTCGCCATGGCTGGGTCCCCTTTTAAATCCCATCCAGAAAGCACCCCGGGAGAGCTGTGCGAGGTCGGCTCGGCTTCCTGCTCAGCGATTTGCTATCCCTGGGCCTGTGAACGCACATCGCTAGCACAGCCCGACTCGCGGCCACCCCCACGGCCGGAAGGCCCGCAAAGGTCCGAGCCGATGAGGGCGCCGAGGGCCCTCCAAGGCACGGCGACGGGGGGAGGGCGCCTTCCGAGAATAGGCAATCACATGTGAAGCTCTGCCCCTGCAGGTCGGATGTCTGAAAAACTGGCCAAGGCTCAGCGAACCCCAGCGGGGCCGTCCGATAACGCCCCAGCGGCGGCGGGACCCGCAAGGGCAAGGTTCGCGAGTGGGTGCAAAGAGAAGGTCGGGTTTTTGTTTTGAAACTTTGAAGGGGCCAGTCCCCGCGCAGAGGCTCAGGAGAAGGATCAGATCTGAAAGCAGGGAGGGCCTCCCGAAGAGCAGGTGCCCCCTCGGACAGCCACCGCTGTCGCTCCGCCGCCCCGTGGGCGCCGACAGTGGCGGCCCCAGAAGTCTCCACAGGCCTCCGCCAGCGGGGTCCACCCCGAGATCTGGGCGTTTCCATGCGTTCGAGCCAGGCGATCTCGCCCACTTTCGGGCCCTGGGGCCCTCGCATATCGATCTGGCTCGCAACATTTGTCCTGTATGATGGGGTCCTGGGCTCTGGCCACCACTTGCTTTTCTAAGTCCTGCTCCTCCTCCTCCTCCTCCTCCTCCTCCTCCTCCTCCTCCTCCTACTCCTTCTCCTCCTCCTCCTCCTCCTCCTCCTCCTCCTCCTCGTCCTCCTCCTCCTCCTCCTCCCATCCTCCTCCTCTTCCTCCTCCTCCTCCTCCTCGTCCTCGTTCTCGCCCTCCTCTTCCTCGTCCTCCTCCTCCTCGAGCACGCAGCGTGGGGCAAGGGAACCGCTGCTCGGCTACTCCCTCGCCCCGCGACTTGCAAGAACGGGGATCCCTGCGCGGTCCAAGCAAGAGCTCACCGCAACCCCTTCTTGCCAGCCGCGGGGCGCCGGGGCGCCAACCAGGGGTCAAAATCTCCACGCACAAGGGTCCAGCAGCTGGCGGGAACCGGGATTTCCGCACGTTCCGGACAGGAGCTCTACAAAATCCTGGTTCCCGCCAGCCGCGGGGCGCAAGGGAGAAAGAAGGGGCAAAATTTCTGCGCCCCTGCGCCCCGCAGCTGGCGGGAACCGGGATTTCCGCGCGTTCTGGACAGGACCTCTTCAAAGTCCCGGTTCCCCGCCAGCCGCGAGGCGCAGGAGCGCCAGGGGCCGAGATTTCCACGCCCCTGCGCCCCGCAGCTGGCGGGAACTGGGATTTCCGCGCGTTCTGGACAGGAACTCTCCATAATCCCGATTCCCGCCAGCCGCGGGGCGCAAGGGCGCCAGGGGCCAGGGGCCAAGATTTCCACGCCCGCGCCGCGCCCCCCGTGTTTCTCTGTGTCCCTCTGTGTTTCTCTGTGTCTCTCCGAGTTCCTCAGTGTCCCTCCGAGTGTCTCTGTGAGCCTCTGTGCCCCTCTGTGTCCCTCTGCGTTTCTCTGTCTCTCTGTGTCTCTCTGAGTCTCTCTGTCTCTTTCTGTGTCCCTCTGTGTCCCTCTGTGTCCCTCTGTGTCTCTCTGTGTCCCTCTGTGTCTCTCTGTGTCCCTCTGTGTCCCTCTGTCTCCCTCTGTGTCTCTCCGTATCCTTCTGTGTCTCTCTGTGCTCCTTTGTGTCTCGCTGTGTCTCCCTGTGTCTCTCTGTGCCTCTCTGTGCCTCTCTGTGTCCCTCTGTGTCTCTCTGTGTCTCTCTGTGTCTCTCTGTGTCTCTCTGTGCCCCTCTGTGTCCCTCTGTGTCTCTCTGTGTCTCTCTGTGACCCTCTGTGTCTCTCTGTGTCTCCCTGTGCCTCTCTATGTCTCTCTGTGTCTCTCTATGTGCCGATCTGTGTCTATCTACGCAGTTTTCGCTGGTTGCGTTTTCGCTTGAACGAACCAGCCTTTCGATTGAACGAGCATATTTTCGCTTGAACGATCTGCCCTCCACCAAGACGGCCCCAGAGAGCCCCAAGACGGCCGAAGCCCTCTAGACTCTCACGATGAACGCGTTGGGGCTCACTGAAGCATCAGAATATTGGCTCCTCCTCCTCCTCCTCGACGATGGCGATGCGACGATGACGATGACGATGCGACGATGAGGATGACGATGACCACGATGCGACGATGACGATAACGATGACGATCGTCGTCCTCGTCATCGTCATCGTCGTCGTCATCGTCTCATCGTCCTCGTCGTAATCGTCTCATCGTCATCGTCTTCATCATCGTCGTCGTCGTCATCGCCCCCCTCCAGTCCAGCACTCGTTCGGCTCGTCTGTGCACTCGTCGCCCCACAGCCAGCAGGCGCCCTGCCACTTGCCCTGGCCCTCCTCGAAGCAGGCGTGGGCCTCACAGGCCGGCCAGCGGCGGAAAGGATGAAGGAGGAGGAGGAAGAGGAGAAGGAGGAGGAGGAGCAGGTGGAGGGAAGAGGAGGAGGAGGACGAGGAGGAAGAGGAGGAGGAGGAGGAGGAGGAGGAGGAGGAGGAGGGAGGAGGAGGAGGAGGAGGGAGGAGGAAGAGGCGGAGGAGGTGGAGAAGGAGGAGCAGGAGTACGACGACGAGAGACGACGAGAGACGACGAGGACGAGGGAAAAATGAAGGAGGAGGGGGGGGGGGAGGGGGAGGGGGACGATGAGGATGAGGATGATGATGATGAAGAGGAGGAGAAGGAGGACGATGAGGATGAGGAATATGAAGAGGAGGAAGAGGAGGAGGAGAGGGAGGCGAGGGATCGTCCCCTTCTGCATCCACCTTCTTATTGTTCTTTTCCCCACATCCTACATGGGGTTCTTGTGTTCTCTGCACACGTCCGCGCAGGATCTCCTCCCACCCGCCTTTCGGCCATCTCATCACCATCACCATAACAACCGTTATTACATTCATCAGCCGATCCCTTTTTCCCCTGGCCAGAGACACTCGGAGAAGCAACGAGGAACACGCGCCCGCGAGAGCTCGCTGCACCCAAATAGGATGATGATGATGATGACGATGATGATGATGATGATGATGATGATGATGAGGAAGAGGAGGCTCAGCCGACCCGATCGTTTTCATTCCATATCTTCAATGGAGTTGTTGTTATCTTTGCACACGCCCAGCGCCGGATCTCTCCTCCCCCCTCTCTTCTTCCTCACCACTCACCCACACACTCACACACTCACACACTCACATCATCATAACCACCACATCATCACTTACACACTCACTCACACTCCCTCGGCCACTCTCATTCAATCATGAATTATTCACCCACTATCCCACTCACTCACTCACTTCTCCTGAATGGCTGACTCACTCACTCGGAACTACCACTGGATGAATTGTGAGGAAGTCTCAGGCGGGAGCCCCCTCCTCATGGGGCCCACAACTCATGTTACTAAGCCGAACGGGCCATCGGAATCTTGTAGCTGTCGTCAACTGTGGCCTCCTCAGGCCTGAATATGGAAGTCTCGAGCGGGAACCTCATCTGTGAGTGTATTGTGATGAAATCTCGGGCGGGAGCCCCCTCCTTATGAAGCCCGCAGCTCATGTTACTAATCCGAGCGGGTCATCGGAATCCTGTAACGGTTGTCACTTCTGACCTCCCCTGGCCTGGAACTCAATGAAATCTCAGGTTGGAGCCTCGTCGGTGAGCGAATTGCGATGAAATCTCCTGCGGGAGCCTCTCCCTATGGGGCCCGCAGCTCATCTTACTAATCCGGGCGGGCCATCGGAAACCTGAAACTGTCGTCACTTCTGGCCTTGCGAAGCTTGAATATGGAGGAAGTCTCAAGCGAGCCTCGTCTGTGAATGAATTGGTAGGAAATCTCCGGCGGGAGCTCCCTCTCTACGGGGCCAGCGCCACGCGCATGCGAAACATGCTGATCTTGCGGCCGCCGCCGCGAGAGATCCTGGAACGAGGGCAGCTGGCGTCCTCACGGAAGGCGTTCCTGGAGTTCGACAAGAGATCCAAAGGCTCCAGGGCAGAGGCGGAGCAGCTCGCGGCAGAGCTGGGCCTCGTGCTGCCTCCCGCCTGAGCGCGGCTGCGCCCCGCTCGAGGTCCGCGGGGTTGTCCCCGCGTTTTTTCTCGCGCGCCAGCGGCTCGCGGGGTTGCCCTGACGGCCTGGCCCGCGGGTTTGTCCCAACGACTGCGCGATGTGGCCATTAGAGAACGCGCCCGTGCTGGCCGAGACGGCGACGGGCCGAGGAAGAGTACGAATATGATAAGAAATACAACGAGTAGGACGAGAAGGAACAGGAGAAGGAGATGATGAGGAGAAGGAGCAGGAGGTGATGAGGAGAGGGCGGGGAGCAAGCTAAATCAATTATCATGTGGGTTTCTACCGTCGGAGTAATTATTGTGTGTGTTTTGATACGAATGCCATTATTATTGGCATTATTACTATTATTCGAACTGTGATTCGGATTCTTCTTGGCTCGATGCTGCGGTGAGGGGACCACGGGCACTGACCGGCAAGTTGGCTCAGCGTGCAACGATAACCGATCTCATGTCCCATCTCCGCTGCTGCTCCTCCTCCTCCTGCTTCCCCTCGTCCCTGTCCTCCTCCCTCTTGCCCTTCTTCTCCTCCTCCTCCTTCCCTTCCTCCTCGCCTACTCCTCCTCCCTCCAGAAGCCCGAGAAAGGGTTATGCTTGTCAATGCCGGCGCGCCTCTCTCGCTCCGGTCTCTGGGGGCCGTGCGCTCCGCGTCAATATGGCCACGGGTCCGTCACGAGAGGAACTCTTCTGGGGAAGGGGCCGAGACCTCCGCGGATACCACTCGGGGATGGACAGACCCCCCTTTAGTAAAACGTGGATTAGTGAAAACGACCTGAGGCCCAAACCTGGCGGGCGCAAGCCTGGAAAATAACGGCCACGGCGCCCTCTCGAGAACCGAAAACAGACAATTCACTTATCGACGTGTCACTGTTGGGGGTTCTGTCCACCCCCGAACCACGTCTTTCTGGGGAGGAGGAGGGGGGCCGCGAGGGGGGAGGGGCACGACAGGGAGCGGGTGAGGGAGAGGTGAAGAGGAGGGGGGGGGAGAGGAGGAGAGACGAGGGGAGAAACAGACCGCGGGGTGCGAGAAACGCCGTGCGAGTCGCGCCGCTAACGAGAAGCACACATCATAAGACATCTCGCCAAATTGTGTCCCACCGCCAGCCCAAACAGCCGTATCCTGATAAGACATGGAAGGGCCAACCACTCTAGGCAAGGGGTTACGCAATAGCTTGCGACATCAATGGGTTGCACCGTAGGGCATGCTGTGCCGTGGGTTGCGCCTTAAACAGCGCTCTTGGTTGCGCCACATATTCCGCCATCGGTGGGTGTCACTATCCATGGGTTGCTCCATTGTTGACGCCATCCATGAGTTGCGCCACGGCTTGCGCAATCAGTTGCGCCGTGGGTTGCGCCACTGTTGGCACCATGGGTTGCGCCATCCAGGAGCTGCGTTATAGATTGCGCCATGGTTACGCCGTCGGCTGCCCACAAGTGAACGGCCCGCGACTGGTTGCGCCATAACTGCGACGCCGGCTGCCAAGCGAAAAACAGCCCGATACTATCAGCGCCATGGGTTGAACAGTTCAACTTGAACTGTCGGTTGCCGAAATTGGAAGGGCATGCTAATAGAGTTATCAAAACTGCGCACTCGGCGTCGGGAAATTAAATGGCATGCTGCTGACTGCGAGATGGGTTGCGCACTCATCGGCGCATAACATAAACATCATGCGATTGATGGAGCCAAATATTGCGAGGCCGGTTTCCGAACATGAAACGGCCTTCTTTGCGCCAGTGGTTGCACTGTCGGCAACGACAAGTAACATGGCATGCTATCGGATTCGCCAAAAAAGCTGCATACTGAGAGGCTGGTCGTAAAACGGCCTGCTGCTTGTTGTGCGCACTCAGCGAGTGAACTCAACATGGCCCCCTAACGGTTGCGCAATAGGTTGGGCACTCGGCGGCTGATAGCGCCTTTAATTGTTCACTCGGATGGCGAACACAAAAGCTTACTAAAGGGCGCGACCCATCAATGAACAAGTCGGTTAGCCAGCTGGCCGGCCAAACAGTTTACTTCGCGAGATGAGACGTACTGACTGCGACGGAAATATATACATGGTGACAGGTGTTGGGCATTGCTACCGACACCTGATATATATACATATATAGAGAGAGAGAGAGAGAGAGAGAGAGAGAGAGAGGGAGAGAGAGAGAGAGGGAAAAAAGGAGCAATGGAACCCGAGGCAGGCGCGAACGCAGAAACAAACGCATTCTCCAGCACGGGCCAGCCAGCGGGCGAAGCCTTCGGTGACCCTCCTTCCTCACAATGCCGCGCCACCCGAGCGAGAGCCCCGCGTGCGGACAGGGCGGATCAGGACGGCGGTGGGCCTGGTAGCCGAAGCCTTTGCAGCCCGGGAAGCGGCCACACCTCTGCGAGGAGGAGGAGGAGGAGGAAGAGAAGCAGGAGGAGGAGGAGGAGGAGAGAAGAAAGAGGATGAGAAGGATGAGGAGGATAAGCGAGGAGGCGGAGGAGGGCGAGGCCGGGGAGGAGAAGGCGAAGGAATAGGCTGATGAGCAGGAGAGGGGGAGAAGGAGGAGAGAGGAGGCGCATAACGAGGAGGAAAAGGAATATAATACCTGGAGACGCAGTAAGAGTAAGAGGATCTGCATGGAGGAGCAAGAGGACAATGATAACTTTATGGACCCAACGCGACCCCAACTCGGGCAAAGCCCATTGCATGGGCGAATCGCTGGGCGCATCGCTTGGCATTGCTTGGCATTGTTTCGTATGGTTTGGCATTGCGTGGCATCGCGTAGCACTAACTGGCATTACTTGGCATTGCTTTGTATGGGTTGGCATTTCTTGCCATTGCTTAGCACTCCCTGTGGCAACAGGGGGCGGTGAACCCGAGGAGCCCAGGTAACCCGAGGAGCTTTGGTAACGACGCGAGGAATCTCCGATTAACGGGCAACGTAACAATAGAAAGCGCCCGGGGCGGCGAACCCGAGGAACCCGAAGAACCTCTGGGAAAAGAGCAACGTAACAACAGGAGGCGCCGGGGACGGGGAACCGAGGAGCCCGAGAAATATCAGAGGAACGGGCAAAGTAACATTCCGAGGTGCCAAATTTTAACCAAGTGCGAGCCCCCCTTAGGCAAGCCTAAGGAGAGAATGACATGGAACAGGTGGCGGATGAGGGAACGGAGCAGGATAATGAAAGGGAGGAGGAGATCAGGGTGGGAAGGCGGAGGAGAAGCAGCAAGAGGTGGAGTTGGAAAATGGCGAGTAGGAGAGAGGATGATGCTGACGAGGATAAGGCCGAGGAGGGAGGGATGTGGAGGGAGGATGGGGAGTGAGGCTGAGGGGCGGGAGGAGAAGCATGAGAACAGGGACGACGTGTATAATTTGAGGGAACTTCTCGGGAATTCACATCATCCTGACTCCCAGCGCGCGAAGACATGGCCCCGCCGACCTCCCCCCCTGTTCCGTTTCCGGCGAGATCCGGGAAATCTGGCGAATCCGGCGACGAATTCCAAACGGGCACCCTCGCGTGGGACGTCCTCAGAAAAACCGGTCCCGGGAGCCTCCTCAAGGAGGCCGTCAGAGGCCTCTCTGTTGTTCGTTTCTCGTGCCGGAGATCCGGGAAATCCGGCGAATCTGGCGACGAATTCCAAACCAGCGCCCTCGAGTGGGACATCCTCAGGAAAACTGCACCCCAAAGCCCCACCAAGACGGCCCTCAAAGGCGCTCTTGTTTTGCTGCCGGCGAGATCAAAGACATTCGGCGAATCCGGCCACGAATTCCAACCAGCGGGACATCTTCAGAAAAAACGGTCCCTGGAGCCTCCCCAATAGACGGCCCTAGCCCCCCCTGTTCCGTTTCCGATAAGATCCAAGAGATCCGGCGAACCTGGCGACGAATTCCAAACCAGTGCCCTCGCAAGGGACACGCGAAGGAATGGCCTTGCCGACCCCGGACCCCAAGGAGGCCCTAAGAGGCCCCCCTGTACCGTTTCTGGCGAGACCCAAGAAATCCGGCGATCAATCCCGCGACGAATTCCAAACCAGCGCCCTCGCGTGGGACACGCGAGGAAAGTGGGTGTGAAGATGGTTTCGGGCGTCTTCTTCGGCAGGGGAAGAAAGAAAGCAACTGGAACCAAAACTGGAACCAAAACAAGAACCAAAACCCAAACCAAAGAACGCCCGAAAAGAACTAACACGAACCAGAGTCGGAACGGGAACCAAAACCAAAACCGCGAGAACTCATGGCACCCAAAAAAAAAAAGAACGGAACCGGAACTAAAACCAAAACTGGAACCAAAACCGTGACCTGGGGGGTCTTCTCCCGGGCCGGAAGAAGAAAGAAACCGGAACCGGAACCAGAACCGGAACCAGAACCATGACCTGGGGGGTCTTCTTCTGGGCAAGAACAAAAAACATTGGAACCCAAAACCATAATCGGAATCATAACTAACCTGGCCGACTGTGACCGACTGAAAAAAATAGAAACTGGGACCAAAACCAAAACCGAAACCGGAACCGAAACATTGACCTCAGTGGGACGGACGCTGCTATCCATCTCCTACGGTACCTTACCGACGCCAACCACGACAAAGTACTCCTGAGCATCGACGGAGAGGGTGCCTTCGATCACGTGTCCAGGGCGCGCATGCTCGAACAACTATTACGGAACGACCGCCTACACAGATTAGTGCTGTTTGTGCGCCTCTGGTATGCTGCGACGTGTGCACACCATACGACAGGGGGACGGTGGAGAACAAGGGGACGCTCTGATGCCAGCATTGTTTTGTTTAACGCTACATGCAACGATGGAGCATATCAAAGCACATCTACCAGCAGGGGCCGAAGTTATCGCTTACCTGGACGATATATATATATATATATACATCGTCTGCGACCCCGGCGACGTCGCTCACATTTACGACACAGTGCAAACCATCCTCCGAGATCAATGCCATTTCGATGTCAATATTGGGAAACTTGCGGCTTGGAGCAAGCGCCCTGGCCCTTGCCCCCCAAGGCTGGCTGAGCGATCACCTACAGCATGGGTGCACGACCAAGCGGATTCAGAATGCGGGATGCGAGGTCTAGGTGCACCATTTGGTACAGATGCATCTGTGGAGAGTTTTGGAAATGCGCAAGCTGCTGAGAAGGAGAAGCTGTTGAAACTACTACCTAAGCTCCCTTCGCTGCAGAGGGCGTGGCTCCTGCTTTACTACTGTGCAGTACCACGGCTCAACCACCTATTGCGGACAACACCACCGAACCAGTCGCAGAGCGCAGCGCAGAAGCACGACGCCAACGCACGTTCCAGGAACTCTTCGAAATCCCAGGGCCAGAAACTTGGGACAATGCTGTGCACGGCATTTCATTCAACACGTGGGTCGCTCAAGCGCAACTCCCGCTCAGATATGCCCGGCTCGGCTTGCGAAACTCTTCACGACTCGCCCCAGCGGCTAGTTGGGCGGACTCCCTGCACAACATCAGCCGTGGTTTCACAGCCATTGGGCAAGAAATCCTTGACCATCTCAAGGCGATATCTGGGGGAACCGTGGATGGAATCTCGAATTGCCCAGATTGCTTGGTTGAAGCAGAACGGGCTGGCAAAGCGTGTGACGACAGCGGATGGGCGGGACGTGCATCCTGGAGCCAGGTGGCAGCGGGTGAGAGACCCCCCGCACCACCAGAACAACTGATGGCCCTCGGAGAATGGACGCATGGATGGCAATTCCACGCATCCGACCCTTTGGAGCACAGAGCGCACAATCATGTTATACAAGAATTGGGAGGGGGACCGACAGCCAAGACCAATGCTGCGACCATGGGCAAAGCACGGATCTACTCCGTTATGGGACCCTATGCAGCAATATGGTTAACCGTATGTCCTACCACTACGAGCCTCACCTTGGATAACAAGCAAATGTCATGTGCTATTCGTCGCCGAGTAGGTATTGGGGTACGCTACGACGGAACTGACCCACATGGGTATTCTATGATGACAACGAATCATTACGGCAGACTGAATGCTGGGCATACCGCCTTGGTGGTAGTTTGGAGGCAGGTATTCACTGAAGCCGGCGGTATGATACCGCACAGAAATGTCGAGCGTATGTTGGCCCATACGCATGTGCGCGTGCCTGCGCACGACAGAGACGACTGGACCTAATCGTGCCAGGACTGAGTGTGGAACGTGGACTACCATTGTTTTGTGGCGTCACAATCATACCACCTATCAGTGGGAATTCCGCTCCACGACCAGGCGCCAGCAAAGCAGGAGAGCGATTGTTGGGCAGAGCCGAACGCGACAACGACAGGACGGATGCCGACGTGCGATCTACAGGATTGGGCTCCTTACAGTGTCTGGGGGTGGAGGTGCATGGGAGGTGGAGTCGCCAATGTGTTTCTCTGGTCCCCACCCTGCCTCGTGAACGGTGCCAGGCTCTGCCGGCAGCCATCCGACGGGGCACGTCGTTGGGCTTATTACATAGGTGGTGGGGCATGTTAGGAATGGCAGTGCAACGGTCGGTGGCAGATATGGTCATGCATACATGCACCGACGTACTCATCACCCACCTGGAACCAACTTGCCCCCTGGACGAGCTGGAGGTCGTGTGAGCCCGCGCTCGTCCGCAGGCGCAGCAGCCGTGCCCTCCCTCCCTCCTCTTCCTCCTCCTCCTCCTCCGCCTCCGCCTCCTCCTCCTCCTCCTTTAGCGCTGCTTAGCCCCGCTGCGGCGTCCTTAGTTTCACCCAGGCTCTGTTTCTGAGCGTGGCGCTTTCGCACCTGGTCCGATGCTGGGGCGCAACACACAACAAACAAATTGCCCTGGGAGGTCTTTTTCCGCACACCGAAAATGACACCAAAGAAAATCCCCAATCAATGGACGGTTTTCGCTAAGGAGATCGACCTGGAACCTAGGAGCCCAGGAACCCAAAACCCACCGAAATCGGCCCGGAACCAATAGCCGCGAACCCGGGAACCCGGAACCGGCAACCCAGGAACCCCGCGTGCGACCAAAATCGGCGAGACACTTTCGCCAAATCTTTCAACCTCCGCTAGGACCCCTTCCAGGACCAGAACCATAATCAAAACTGTGACCTGGAAGGTCTTCTTCGAAACTGGAAAATAAAACAAACCCAAACCTGAACCAAAACCGGAACCAAACCGCGAAGGCCAGAAGAAGAAAGAAACCGAAACCAGAACCAGAACCGGAACAAGAACCGTGACCAAAGAATCTTCTGCGATAAACCGAAACTGGAACTGGAACTTCGAAGCTGGAAGAAAAGAGAAACCCAAACCGGAACCGGAACCAGAACCGTGACCTGCGGGTCTTCTTCCAGGCCCCCCCCAAAAAAAAACGAAACCGGACCAAGAACCGGAACCAGAGCCGTGACCAAAACATAATTTTCT